GTGATGATGATACTAACGGTGAATGAATTATGTTTTATGATTGTAAACTAATTTTCGTTGTAATATTGTTATTTATACAATAATTTATGAGATTATTATTTATGTATAATTTTATTATATGTAAAATAATTTGAGGTCTTATTATTTTATGTTTAGATAGTTTTGTAAAAGTAATAAGATATATTTTTAAATATATAGTTAAAAAAATTAATTACTTAAAATTGGATCTATAATTAATATTGATGAAATGAAATATACTTAAATTACGATATACATTAGATTTGCTGCTTTGGAGCATATATGATGAAATGCTATGGGAGACCAAACCTAATCCAACTTCCTATAAGTGGTAAAATAGTGAAATATTACTATTTTAATATTTGGTTTAAATTTTGAAATCCATTGGAGACCAAAAACACTATTTTTCCACAAAAAAATGATGGACTATCGGTGGGAGATGAACCCACTTTTTCACTACCAAAAATAGGACTTGATGAAAAAATGGTGGAACCGATCGGAGATGCTCTTATTCACATGTTTGGGTCCTGGTGGTCAATGAGTCGGATTCGGGTCAAACCCGGCAAGTGTGGTGTCTGCCATATACTAACATATACAACATCACTCTTTATCATCTACCTAAAATTTAAATAACAAAGTTAAAATTTAGTTCTTTGAATATGTCATTAAAAATCATCACTTTTGTTGTTATAATTTTCACAACATGCACCGTCCTAAATATTATAAAAAGTAGAGCAAATGTCAAATAGATCAATGATAAGGGTATTTAATTAAAAGAGTGACATTCAAATTTTTTGTCTTTTAAATAAATTCAGGTCATTCAAACTTATTTGCAAATAAGGAAAATCATTTTATATATACCAAGATTACTCCCAATTCATTGAAACTCAATTCAACCTCAATTTCATGATTTACACCCCAATTTAGCCCCATTTCATCAATTAACCAATTTTAACCATAATTTTAATTTTGACCCAATTTTGACCCGCCACCTCCGAAGATCGCCGGTCCGCCGCCGTTGACCGCCGGTCTCCGGCGTTGACTTTTTTTTTTCTTTTTTTTTTATAATTTTGTTTTTTCTTAAAATTTTAATTAATATTACTATCATAGCTACTAAATTACTGTCTCCAAGAGTTATTTAATTGTCGGAGACAGTAATTTAACTGTTAATTGGCTTTTTTTTTTCTTCAAAAATATTTTAATTAATATTATTGTCTTGGTTGCTAAATTACTGTCTCCAGCAGTTATTTAACTGTCGGAGACAGTAATTTAACTGTTAATTGACTTTTTTTTTTTGAAATTATTTTCTTAAAAAAAGATTATTTTAATTAATATTACTGACTTGGCTGTGTTTAACTGTCTCAGACAATAATATTAGTAATATTATTGTTCGGGACAATAATATTCATAATATTACTGTCCCAAACAGTAATATTACTGTCTGAGACAGTAATTTAGTAGCAAACAAAGTAATATGAATTAAAATATTTTTTTCTAAAAAAAAAATCAAAAAAAAATTCAACGCCGGAGACCGGTAGTCAACGGTGGTTGACCGGCCGGAAAAAAAAAAATTCAGAAAAAAAAAAGTTTTCAAAAAAGAAAAAAAATCAACGCCGGAATCTGGCAGGAAAAAAAAATTCAGAAAAAAAAATTCAAAATATTATTATTTTGAGGGTTAATGTGTTATATTTGTTTAAATCCGGGTGTAATATTAAGGAAGTTAAAGCATAACGGATGAAATTTATAAGAATTATATTATAAAGGTGTATTTTAAACTAAAGACATGGGGATAAATTTAAATACCATGTGATGGGCCTATTTCCATTCGCCTTAGAAAATATTTATAATTCCATTAAATCACTTTAGGAATTTTAGAGGTAGGATTTTTTGTATGTTAAAAATGTATTTCTAATTCCATTTAAAAAAAAATTAATAAAAACCAAAATGACCACAATAATAAGTTAATTTACTCCATTAAAGGACATATAATGAATGAATTAAAGAGAATCTCCAGATTAGCTTTGATCATACGCCAAACAGTACTTACTGTCAACGGATAGTCTTTGCTATTTACTCTGTTATTAAATTTATTTACCAAGTCCAAGCCCTCAAATTAATTAGGAATAAATAAACAAATAATAATGAAAAAAAAAAAAAAAAAAAAGAGAATCAGACCCACCCCTAAAGGCTAAAAGCTCAGCTCCACTACAAACAACTGTAACCAGGAGGAGTAAGAAAAGAAACCTTCATATTCTCTCTCTAAAATCTATACATCTAACTTTCTCTCTCTAGAAAGAAAAGAAAAGAAAGTAAACAAACATGCAGAGGCAGTCACTGGGATCACCATCTTCAAAGCTCGTAGCGAAAGACGAGCAGCTCATCATCACAAATGAAATTACCCAGCTGAATAACAACAAGCAATTCCCACCATCAATCTCCAATAATATTACTGGATTTATGTTGTTTTCTCAAGAACAAGAAGAAGAAGAAGAACAGCTGAAGAAGAAGAAGAAGAAGATGAAGAAAAAGAATTCTTCATACATTCACCTAATTCCAATGCTCACTCTCCTCTGCTTTCTCATTCTTTATCTCTCCTCCCACAACCCTTCTCAAACTGGTCCTTTTTCTTTTTCTTTTTCCTTTTCTTTTTCTTTTTCTTTTTCTTTTTTTATATATAAATATAATGTAAATGATTTTTTTTTTAATTTTATTATTTGATGGGTTAATTATTCAGATTTGGCGCAGTTCAATGGGTTCAAGGCATTTTCCAACACTGCAGCAGGTCTTCATTTTTATTTTGAAATTTTATTTTATTTATTTTTTGCTTCATAAATTTATCATTTTTTTTTTTATTAATTTGTGGGTTTTTGCTATTGTTGTTGTAGATTTGGAAGACAGTATTTCAGAGTTGCAACGAGTAGTGGATATTAAGAAAGGGGATATCTTGGTGGTACGGAGCTTAAAGAATTTCAAGCCGGCGACGGCGGCGGCGGAAGAAGCCACCGCCATACACCGGCGGCTCCACCGCAAAATCGCCCGTAATTTCTAGGCCGCGTTATCTGCTCATTACATTGTCTCTTTTTTTTCTTGAAAATTATAGTGTCGGTGGGGGAGTTTAATTTGGCAGATAGTATAATGAGATGGAGTTGATTTTCTTTGTGAATTAATGGAAATTCTCAACTATTACCAAATTGTTGACGTGTGATTTTTTTGTGTTTATTCCTTTATATATATGAATTATTTATTCTTTATGGGTGTTTTATTAGCAAATGTAATATATAAAAGAAAAGAGAAATAGTACCACCATAAAAGAAAGGAAAAAAAAAATAGAACCCCCATAGGACATGATTATAATTTATATTCATGGGTGAAAGTTAACGAAAATTCTAATTTCCACTAGTTCCAATTCCAAAAGTTTTTTTAGAACAACTTTTTTCATTCCGATTTTCTAAGTTCCAATTTCTAAATATTTCGATGTTTTTAGATTGAAATTGGAATTTTCGATTTTGCAATCCAATTTTATGATTTTTCCAAAAAATACACCTGTAATTAACATATGGGCAAATTACGGCTGTCCCAGAGTTATGGTTAAATTACGAAAAATCCCTCATGTTTGGGTAATTACAGTCATCCCCTCAACTATATATTACGAAAAGACCCCTCCAAAGGTAAATTTACGAAATTTCGGTACGCAAACATTTCATAGCGTTTATCGAAATGAATATACGATTTGTATCGGTAAATAACCGAATTACATAATTTTTTTGTAAAAATATTAAAAGAAGGAGTGGCTGTAATCACCCAAACAAAATGAGTTTTTTCGTAATTGTTCATACCTCAGGGGTGGCGGTAATTTGGCCTAATATATATTATATATTTCTTATTTTTACTTGATGCAAAATAAATTAAATATTTAACTATATTTGTACCTTGTGAGCCATGTCAAATATTTTATTTTGCTCTATTTGTACTTTATTATTGGTCATGTCACCTAAAAAAACCCTAAGTGTATATTATTTATTGTACAAATAATATACACTTTTATAAAAATTCATGTTCTTACTTCGCGAAATTCTGAAATTTTTCAAAACTTTTCTCTATTTTAAAACTTTAAAATTTGTGTGATTTCCGAAACTTTACTGAAATTTCGAAATTTTCCAGAGTATTGGAATTGGAATGAATTTTAAATTGAAATTGGAATAATTTTGTACTTCCGAATAACCAATTCAAATCGTCCAATCCGAATTTCACTCTTAATTACAACATTTAAATGTTTTTCTTCTTTTTGTGCCATCTTTTTTCTTTCTAGTAATATTTAGGCACATAATTTTAGGGAAAGCTCATTTTTCCACCCCTAAATTATGGGTTGTGTATCAAACACCCCTGAATTATAAAATATACCAAATACCACCTCTTTTTCTTTTTTTATGATTAACCATTAAATCTTGAACTCCATTAGTTTAAAGGTGCAATTACATTTGTACCATTGTGAGATTAAGAGATATTAATGTTATTTATTAATATTTTTCTTTTTATTTTTCCCAAAATCAAATGTTCGCATGTGCCCCCAACTTATCGTCTTCTTCACCTTACTTATGAGATAACCAATTTCGGTTTTCCAGCGGATATCATATATATTAGGGTAAATTATAACCACCCCTGAGATATGGCCAAATTACGAAATCGCCCTTCTTGTTTGGGTAATTACAACCACTCCCCTAAACTATAAATCTTCTTACACGTCCTCCCTTGCGGTGTCAAATTTAGTGAAATATTTTAGATTATATGGAATATTCTCAATTTTCTACCCGTTTTATCACATTCGAACTCCACATTTTGAAGCAAGATGATCATGAGATATGTTGTTTGGCTTGTAAATATCAGATCGTGGTGCATCACAAATTGCATTTTTGCACAAAACGAGTATAAACTAGAGAACATTCCATAAAATCTAGAAGATTATGTTGAATTTGACACCATAAGGGTGAACATGTAAGAAGATTCATAGTTGAGGGGATAGTTGTAATTATCCAAATAAAATCGGATTTTTCGTAATTTGACCATATTTCTGGGATGATTGTAATTTACCCTATATATTATTACAATACCGATTCCCCATCATAAGGAAATCTCTGTAAAAGTGACAACAAAAGAGAAAAGTAATATATATTTTATTTCTCCAAAATCAACTCCTTCGTAGTGAAAAGAAACGAGAATTGAGGGGATTCTAATTTTGGACACTAAATTGATTCTTGATGCAAAATAATCTTCCAGGAAGAAAAATATTTAAAAAATAAAATTGTGGAAATGGAGATGATGATGATTGATGTGATACGTATTTTATTAAAATGTAAACAACATATTTTACTATATAAATAGGTTAAAAAGTAAGTCATAAAAACTATTATGGGTATTATTTAGTTATCTTGCACCAAAAAGTGAAATTCCTCGCCCACAGGGCCCCCATCTTTTGGCCCGACAAGGATTGATGGAGGAATGTAAATCATGGTAACTCAACGTCCCGTTAAGGTAGCGGACCCCCATCTCTTGGCCCGACAAGGATTGATGGAGGAATGTAAATTATGGTAACTCAACGTCCCGTCAAGGTAGCGGAGCCGGACCTAGTGCCCACAAGGAACCAACCCTCATTAGGGTTAAAATTCGGCTGTCAGAATTCGATCCAAGGACCTTGCACCAACTTACCACCTCCGGAACCAGTTGAGCTACACCCATGCGGGCTATTATTTAGTTATTTCTATACATATAAACTGTATGTATCTTTATACATATAGGTATAGCAAATTGAGGGTTAAAATGTCAAAATACATTAATTGGAGAAAGTCAACTTGCCACATCAGCACATCACAAATGGATTAAAAATAAATGTGAGATTATAATACGTTTTGTAATTCAAGGATATTTGATACACAAATTAAACTTTAATTATACAAATTATACAAATGGTATTATGAGTGCAAACTAAACTTTCCCTAAATTTAAAAAAAAAAAATCCATTAAAAAATCGTTAACACAACCCTTAATTGCGCTTTGTAAAAGCTTGACAGTGGTAATAAATTAAATCAATTGGTATTTTAAGTTTCCCAATTAATGAAATTTGAGATTGTCCATTTTAATTTATAAGGTTTGTTGTATTGAAAAATGTTCAAATTAAATAATAAATAAATAATCTCGAATTTAATAGGAACAATAAATATAATATAATAATTGAACTGGTGGGTGGGGCTATACTGAAAATGGTAAACAGCTGGAATAGGACCGTTACTTAGCAGGCCTCGTGGTGCGGCTCGAATTTGCCAGCTATCACTGATGGAAGAAAATGGAGAATATGTATAAATATATATATATATATAGTGAGAGAGAGAGAAAATAGCACATTTATTTATTTATGTTGGTTTCAATCTCTATAAGGACGCTAATATTTAAATAAATCTTAGTTTATTGGTTCCAATACAAATAAGTCTATCATTAATGTGGGACACTTATTCATAAGTGTATCTAGACAAAAAGATATTTTATAAAAAAGTTTGGACATTATTCACATACAGGTAAAAAACTAAAATACCCTCGCATTTTACTATGCTCAAATTTCATCATTTAATTCAATTTAATTTCAATTTGACGATAAATTTCACCAATTATTCAATTTGATCCAAAACTTAATTTTGAGTACAATTTCGTCCGTCACTGTCGTTGACTGCCGGTCTCTGGTGTTGATATTATCTTTTGTCACATTTTCTGTCGATCTCCGACGTTGACTTTTTCAATTTTCTTTTTCTTTTTCTTCTTTCTGCTGCGGTCAATGTCAGTCCCCAACGGCTTTGACTTTTTTTTTTTTTTAATTTTTTTTCTTCGACATCTATTTGTCCATTTAAATAATAATATTGTTGTGATTCATAGTCATGTTAACTATATTGTTGGTGCCTGACCGACTCGGACCCGATTACCGCTTTTTACAACCTTGATATTAACACAACGAAAATCACTAATATTGTGTAATAGAGTAATATTAATATGTGGACCGTTCAACAAAGACAAACATAGCCAAAAGAATTAATAATGATGTGGTTGACAGTTATATTACTGTCATCCACAGTAATATTAGTGTAAACGACTGTAATATTGTCGTCCACCACAATAATATTATTGTTTTTACGGTAATATTACATAGTATACAGTAATATTATAACGTTAATTGGTCAACCAATCAGAGAAAACTAAAAGGCAAAAAAAATATTGATGTGGTTGACACTGTATTATTGTGTTTACAGTAATTTTACCGCCAACGACAATAATACAATCCCGTTACTTGTCAACAAATCAAACAAAAAAAAAAAATGCCAAATTATAGTATTTATGTGGTTGACAGTAGTTGTACTGTCAACGATAGTACAATTACGTAACTACACTGTCAACGGCAGAACAATTGCGTAAATATACTGTCAATGAATGTATAATCACGTAAACGTACTGTCAACGACAGTACAATTACTGTCAGCGAGTGTATAATTATTGTTAATGACAGTATAATTACGGACAAAGTTCAACAGCGGACGTAAGAAAAAATGGATAAATTTTTTATGTAAAAATAATTAACGCCAGAAACTGGGGACAAAAAAAATTCAGAAAAAAAATTAGAAAAAGAAAAAGTCAAAATTGAATTTTTATGGTCAAAATTAATAAGTTTTTATTTAGAATACATATTAAATGGATAAGCTGATTAGCGAAAGAGATAAAACGCCTAAACTTAAAACAATAAAGATGATTGGTCAGTCAGTGGCTTATACATAAAAACCCCTACTTTATTTAGAAGAAAAAACACATAAGCCAGATTAAATTGTGCTTTAAGGCCTTGTTTGATTGGAAAATATAATCACGATTAACTAAACCCAATAACTTTCCAGGTCGGCCCGGAAAACATTATGTTATCATGTTTTATCGTGCCTTAGGACCTTTTTGTTGGACTGCCCGAAGTTAATTATTTTTCGATTATTTAATTTTATATTGACTAATCTTATTTTGTCAACGAAACAAAGTCTCAGATTTTTGTTGCTTCGTTAATGCGAAATAAAAAAACAAAATTTATAACAATTGATGAGTTTTTATTTTTCATATTTACAAAAAAATGAAAATTTGGTGGGATATTGGGCGGGAGTTGAAATCAGATTGATCGGATCAAACTTAACGTTTTCGAAAAGAAATTAATTAAAAAATAATTCCAAATTTGTTCC